GACTCCGCTTCGTCCACGGTGAAAGCCGATCCGGTGATCCACAGTACTAAGTTGATGTATTTCCTCAGCGATCAGCACATATCAGCTCCAGGCATGACGAAGCGGATATCGTCCTCTTTTGGAAGGCCAAACAAAGTAGTTTCGCTTTCACAACGAAGCACACAGCGCCTTCACGACATGGCGGCAGCGGCAACAATACTACAGTGAGAATAAAAGTTACGCCTTCTTTCTTTGCGTGAACATTTGGGCGGCGTTATGCAAATCTTCCCACATAGTGACGTAGATATGTGGGGGCGTGTTAGAACCAGCCGTTTTAGGTAGGCGTGGTTCACTCTTAACTTTTATAAAGAATATCTCTTTGGATTTGAGACTTTAGTCTTTGCAACTTTACAGATCTTCTTTATGCACCAAGAGCTTGTAACACTCCAAAGAGAAAGGAAAAATTGAAATCGCATCATATGACCCCTTTAAAGATTAAATTAAAAGAATAGTTCACCCAAAATGAAAATTTGCTGACCCTCGGGCCATCTAAGATGTAGATTAGTTTGTTTCTTCATCGAAACAGATTTGGAGAAATTCCGCATCACATCACTTGCTCACCAATCGAGCCAATGCAGTGAATGGGTACCGTCAGAATGAGAGTCCAAACAGCTGATAAAAACATCACATTTTTGGGTGAACTATTCTTGTAAGTGTCCATTATATGACAGCAAAAGTAATCCAAATGTAAAAATAAGAAATGAGAATGCACAATTAAATTCAATATGAATTTCAGCTAATAACCAACATGGTACCAATACAGTATCATGCCTAAGATCTCTAATTTGTTTTACTTGAACTTATTGAAGCTCTTTTTTAAAATTCTTTCTGATTCTAATCCAGATGTTTTCTTTCTGATGCAGGTGATGGACAGGTGGACTTTGATGAATTTATGACAATATTGGGACCTAAACTTGTTTCTTCTGAAACCAGAGAGGGCTTCCTAGGAAGTACTATAGACAGCATATTCTGGCAGGTATGAAAACATCCATCTAATTTCTATATCTCAATGTTCTCTTCTCTTTCTCATTGTTTGGGTGTGCATTTGTATTCTGGATAAGATTACGGGTCACACTTTGCCCTCTGTACCAGCTTCCTCCTTCCCATGACAACTGTCAAATGTGATTCTTCTCAGACTGTGGACTTCAAAGTGAGCAGGCAGATCTGCCCTTTTCAAAGTGAACATTCGTTCATGTAGTGAGGAAAACCCAGTTGCACTTCCAAGAGATTTCTTTGAGCGTCTAAGGAAAGCATGTTAATTTAAAGATTTGCCACTTAAAAGGGAAGTATAGATCTGAATTAGTCATCACAGGCATTTGAGCAGAGTTTTCACTCTCTCTTTCTTGTTAGGTCTTCATCTCTGCTTTTATTAAATAAGAATTGAGTCCGAAAAAATAGCTGACTTCCTGTCTTGAGTTTATATTTGCATGTTTATGTGTGTAGCATCTTTCGCTCACAGAGGAGGCCGAGCGGTGTGTGTAGGCGTGAGGAACAGCAAGGTCACAGACACTGGTTGTCTCGAAGGTGATTTAAATGCTCATCTCAACACACCTTTAGTGGGACACAGTGACTCATAACTGCAACAGTAATCCATGTAACATCATCACAACAGCACACCAAACACCCTCTGCCTCTCTGATGTTATTATGAGGCCAATACAAGTCTAATAATGGCACAATGACAAAACCTCCTGGGAAATTTTGTGTTTTGACAGAGCAACAGTTATTGGGATCATTTCATAGTTTTCCACTAGAAATCCTACAAATTTCTTGCACAGAATATGTGGTTTAACATATGCTATTGTTCAAAAGCTTGGGGTAAGAATTTTTAAAAGAAATTAAGACTTTTATTGAGCAAGTATGCATTAAATTTATCAAAAGTGACACTTAAAAAATCAAATAAATTCTGTTCTTTTGAACTTTCTGTTTATCAAAGAACCCTGAAAAAAAAATGTTTTCAACATTGATAATAACAAGAAATGTTTCTTGAGCATCAAATCAGCATATTAGAATGATTTCTGAAGGATCATGTGACACTGAAGACTGGAGTAATGATGCTGAAAATACAGCTTTGCCATCGTAGGAATAAATTACATTTTAAAATGTATTAAAATAGAAAACAGTTTTTTTTTTATTTGTAAAAATATTTCACAGTATTACTGTTTTAACTGTATCTTTAATCAAATAAAGTCAGCCTTGGTGCACAGAAGAGACTTCTTACAAACACATTTTTAAAAATCTTACTTGAAATGTTTCATTACAAATATTGATACAAAAAAATAAAATTAATTAAAAAAAATGTATTAAAATTATTTCAATTAATTGTATTCTAATACAAACATTTCTAATAATTTCTACAAATTGTATTTAATTCTAATAATATTAATAATGAACCATTATAAATAATAACTGAATAATATAAATAGAATAGAATGAATGATTTAAGTTAGGGTTTCTCATTTAATTTATATAAATTTACAATACAGTACAACAATTCTACTTTTACCTTATGATTTTTTCCAAGGTCTTTTTTGAAGGTCAAGCGCATCTTTGTTGACATTATCTGTAAGGTTCCTGTCAAATACATTACACGCTGTTTGTGTCATAAAACCACTCTTATAATATTAACACACCATGTCTTTGACATTGAGGTCTGGTAGTGATGGTTTCTATGTAAAGCGTCACATATGGTGCATTGGAACCAGATCAAGCCCAAAAAGCTGTTGATTTTTAAATCTGTGCAGACATGAAGTCATAAACCAGTCAGAAGAAAGTTAGCTCTTATCTGTCAGCACAAAGAAGTTGTGTGTGTCCTCATAAGGGTGTCATCTCAGTTTGGATTTGCATGCTGACTAGGACATTTTTCATCCCAAGAACCTCGAGGCCCTTTGTGTAACATGAAAGACTGAGCATGTATTAGTGGGGGCGTTTAAAAATGTTCTTAACAAGATTGTCAATGGGGACGTCAGAGTGGAGCCAAGAGCTACAGGCAGTCATGGATTATTAGGAACACATAGGCATAAACAAGCTTGTTTTCCCCACCCTGAGGAACACAAACCTGGGGAGTGTGTGTAGTGTTGCTGCTAACAGCCCTGTTTTAACAGCGGAAATTATTTGAGACAAACACAGTCAGCATTAACCAGTATCACTAACAACATATTCTATCTCTATGTGATGTATAATTCATGTGTATATTTCTCTATTGTTTTACTATTGGTTCAAAATGTCTCTACTGCAGCGACACCAGAGATGGTGATGCATTACATTATGTAGCTGATACATTAAATTATGTAGTCTACCTATGTTGTACTGCATTACAAGTACATGTCTGATGTATTCTATGATTCTATAGAATTTTAACATGTATAGATGTCTTTTCAATATACAAAAGTTTGGGGTTGGTAATATTTTTTGAAAAAACTCTTTTATGTTCACCAATGCTGCATACTGTATATGTAATCAAAAATACAGTAAAACAGTAATATTAAGAAATCTTATCACAATTTAAAAAGCACTATTTCTATTTTAATATATTGTAAAATGTAATTTATTTGTGTGATGGAAGGAATACATTTATTGGCAGGAATATGTATTCAGTTAAGCAGCCATTACACCAGTCTTCAGTGTCACATGATCAATCAGAAATCATTCTAATACGCTGTGCTTAGGAAAATTTCTTATTATTAATTTTGAAAACAATTGTACTGCTTAATATCTTTGTAGAAACATGATACTTTTTTCCAGGATTCTTTGATTAATAGAAAGTTTAAAAGTACATCATTTATACTTTTGTAACATTATAAATGTTTTACTGTCACGTTTGTTCAATTTGCTTCCTTGTTTAATAAAAGTTTTAATTTCTTTAAAAAAATTTAAAAACTGTTCATACACTAAATATATATATATATATATATATATACACATACACACATATACACATATATATACACATATTACACATATTACATACACACACACACACATACATACACACACACATACATACACACATACACACATACATACATAAAGGGTTCTTCTACTAAATACTGAGCAAAGGGTCTGAATACTTAGGACCATGTGATATTTCAGTTTTTCTTTTTTAATAAATCTGCAAAAATGTCAACAATTCAGTGTTTTTCTGTCAATATGGGGTGCTGTGTGTACATTAATGAGGAAAAAAAATTAACTTAAATGATTTTAGCAAATGGCTGCAATATAACAAAGAGTGAAAAATTGAAGGGGGTCTGAATACTTTCCGTACCCACTGTATATATGGCAAATAAATTGTCACATTCATTTGTGCTTGTTAATTAAGCAGAAGATTAAGCCTCACAGAAAATTACATTTCAAGAGGCCAAATTGATATTTATGTACAGAAATATTACAGTATTATAAAATGTATAAAATCACCTAATTTAATTAAGATTTCCATACCCTTTTATATTTCAGTTCTGACATCTTAATTAATCTTGATAAATATCTGATAATAAAAATATCTGAACAAACTTAAAACTGACTTGATATTGTATGTCAATGTCAAATAATGTAATATCAGAACAAGCTAATTAATAGTCAGCCTGGTCTTTTCTCCAAATAGTGACATCACAATCCACAAACTTTGCAAAGCCACTGGTCTGCTGCAGACTCTGAGCTGGCCAGATAGTTTACAGACAAAGTAAACATGTCAACAAATGTTTAGTGCGCAATATAATTTGTGTGTTTAAAATCAGCCTTCTGTTTAGTATTCATCTGTGCTAAGGACAATTACTCCTGTCTCTGTTGTGTTCTGAAATGAAGATTAACATATTTTAGACAGATAGTTGAAAGTGTGGGTGAATAAACAGAAGAGGAAGAAACTGAGAGAAATATGAAAAATGCAGTGAGCCTAAATTATAGGAGCATTTAGGAGTATCCCCAAAAGTCACCACAGCATTACGGAGTGTGTCTTTTTTTCAACTCGCCACAGCTGACAACTCAATTAAGCCGTGAATCAGGCCGGCGCTGTCCTCCTCCATGTCCAGCCCAGATGAATGACACCAGCATCTCTCTAACATTGTCTGCTTGTATAGCCAGCGGATTCGATGCTATGCTAGAGCCATAACTGTCTGATAGTAAACTAAAGACCTCTGTGGAGGCATTTAGAGCAGCATGACAAACAAACTCAGCAGGACTGCACAAATATTCACTTTTTAGAGCAGTTTGTGATGACGAGTGTACAAGGGAGATTACCACTAGGCAGTGAATTTAAAATACTGCAAGCTTTTAACAACACAAGAAGATGGCCACATTAACGCAAACCACAAAGGCTGCATTTAATTGATCAAAAACACAGTAAAAACCGTAATATTGTGACTCATTTTTAGAAATTAAAGTCATTGTTTTCTATATTAAGATATTTTAAAATGTAATGTATTCCTGTGATGACAAAGCTGAATTCTCAGCAGCAATTACTGCAGTCTTCAGTGTCACATGATGCTTCAGAAATCATTCTAATAGGCTGATTTTGTTCTCAAGAAACATTCTTATTATTATCAATGTTGAAAACAGTTGTGCTGCCTAATATTTTTTCAGGATTTTCTGATGAATAGAAAGTTGAAAAGAACAGCCTTTATTTGAAATCATAATCTTTTGTAACTTTGTACACATCTTTACTCTCACTTTTGGACAATTCAATGTGCCATTGCTGCATTAAAGTGTAAAGTCATTATTAAAGTCAAATTAGCCAATAATTGTGGCTAGTGTGTATTAGAGAAAAACATTTATTTCATCATGAAATATTTCCCCTCATTTTCAGTGTTTTACCTCAATGAAAGATTAGATTTTTGTGAATTTTTTTTTTTTTAGATTAAAGATCAAAAGGATCCTTCCTTTTGATTGCTTTATTTGCTCATATTTACCAAGGGGGCCAAAAATTAGACTGTATTGGCTTTAGTTTCCTAGTTTTTAGACATAGCACTTCTAATGCTAGATGAAT